GAGAGGATTTGCAGAAGAGACCTAGTTAAAATTAACAACCAGTAAGAATATTGTGAAACCCAGCCAATAAGGTATTATCTTCCAAAACACCTAATTATAAGAAGGACACCCAGTCAGGGCATAACCCAGAGTATAAGAAAGCCTAGACCTAGAGGTACCAGGATACAAAGAGCCACAGATAGAGCCATCTGAAGAAGACAGGCTGGATTACTGACAGAGAGAATATTTGATGGACAAGTCCAGTAGCAGTGGCAGCAGCCTTCAACATAGGTATTTCTCTTCTTAAAAGTTCTTCATATTCATCCTCCATTGTCCTGGACCTTATTTGGTTGAGTTCCTAAGACAACAATGCAAGGAAGTTTAGAAACAAATGCTAAGCAGTACTGGCTGTGGAACAGTAACACTGGCAGATATAGCCTGCTGTTGAGATTCAACACTAAGCAGATAGTGTCTGCTACTGAGTCAGAAGGGCTGTGTGAGCTCTTCTCTCTATGGGCAACAGCAGAAAATTTTGTATCACTATGATTCTTTGTGAAGGCAGGACTGGCTTTCTGTTTTTAGAATGGCTTGGCACTTGGTTTAGTGCTCTGCTATTGCCATTTTGGCATTCTTACTCACTTTTCCATTGAGCCTACACAATTGCAGTCAGTCCTGTCTGAAACTCTTTATCTCAAATTCTCAAAAACAAGAAAGAGACTCTTCCCTTCCTTCTTTCACTTCCTCCTCCTTTTCTCCCTTCCTTCCTCTCTCCCTTCTTTCCTCCCTTTTCTTCCCTCCCTCCCTTTTCCTCCCTCCCTCCCTTCTTTCCTTCCTCCCTTTCCTCCCTCCCTCCCTCCCTCCCTTCCTTCCTTCCGTCCTTCTTCCTCTGTCCTTTCCTCCCTCCCTCCCTCCCTTCCTTCCTTCCTTTTTTAAAAAAATTTCTGTTCTTTAAGCCACTCATTCTGTGGTGCCTTGTTATATCAGTAAACTAATTATGTGTTTTAGTTGACCAAATATGTTTATTATGTATATGATGTATTGTACATCATATAATCTCTGTGTGTTCTTGGTCAATTGTTTTTTTTTTTGTTTTGTTTTTTGTTGTTTTTTTTGGGTCCGGTCGTGGTGCCTGAACTCTGGGCCTGGGCACTGTCCCTCAGCTCTTCAGCTCAAGGCTAGCACTCTACCACTTGAGCCATAGAGCCACTTCCGGCTTTTTTTCTTTTTGCTTATGTGGTGCTGGGGAATCAAACCAGGGCCTCATGCATGCAAAGCAAGTGCTCTACCACTGAGCCACCTTCCCAGCCCCAGCCCCTCAATTGGTTTACAGGTGAAGAGTAAATGGAGTTTGGGTTGGATAGTATGTGTCTGCCATATCAATTAAAAGTAATTCATTTCAGCCAGGAGTCAGTGGCTCATGCTTGTAATCCTAGCTACTCAGCAGGCAGAGATTTGAGGATTACCATTTGAAGCCAGCGGGGGCAACTGTGAGATTCTTATCTATAAGTACTAAAAAGCTGGAAGTGGAACTATGGGTCTTATGCTAGCTTTGAGCATAAAAACTCATGAGTTTAAGCCCAGGACCAGCATAAAAACAATAACGCCCCAAGCAATTAAAAGCATTTGGGAGCTAAGAGACAATTTCTGGGTAAGATCTATCTTGTTGAATTAAAAAAGAATGATTCTGGGCTGGAAGGTGGCTCAGTGGTAAAGTGCTTGCCTCACATGCGTGAGGCCCTGGGTTCGATTCCTCAGCACCACATAAACAGAAAAAGCCAGAAGTGGTGCTGAGGCTCCAATGGTAGAGCTCTGACCTTGAGCTGAAGAGCTGAGGGACAGTGCTCAGACCCAGAGTTCAAGAAAGAAAGAATGATTCTATGATCTGATTCCAGAAGATGTCACATCTCTCAATTGAGAATACATCATATGACAACTGTTATATATTTAGTCAATTCATATGATTACTTCATTAAATGATTTATTGGTTAGAATGAACTAATTTTTCACTCGTTGTTCTTAGTTTCTTAATGGTATCCTCGGATTTTTGGTTTCTTTGGCTAGTATTTTAAAACTGAGATGCTCTTACTGAATCTGATTCTCTAAAATATAGTTAGATCTGTAGAGAAAGGTGGTCAGCAATCAGTTCATATCAATGAAGTCCAACATTAATGTAGATTGTTTGGCAGACATTTTCTCCTTTTTCTGGCAGTTGATCAAGTATTGCTTCCTCAGGAAGTTTCTCTGATGTCTCTCCATGGAAACTGATATAGTGTTTTACCTCCTCCCTTGTAATTAGTTGTTTACTAGCCTGTTTCCCTCACTTGGCTCTGAGCAGTTTGAGAGGAAAGACTGCTATTTTTAATCTCCTCATTATCTCTGTGTCTTTGAGTACAGTGTCTACGTTCTAAAAGGATCCTTCATACATTTGCTGAATTGAGTGGATGAGTACAATACTTTAAAAAAAATTCATTTGTTAAGAAATGGAGTTATGAACTATATGGCTTTTCTAAATTATCTTCTCTTTTTAAAAACTAAACATTTTTACTGTTATTATAAAGATGATGTGCAAAGAGATTACTGTTTCATCAGTAGGTAATGAGTAACATTTCTTTTTGGACAATGTTATGCCTTACTTTGTTTTTCTCCCAGTCTTCTATATTAACTTAATCTCTCTGTCAGGTGGAGTGGGGGTCTTTGGAAGAATTGGTTGTGTGTGTGTACACCTGACCTGGGTCCTTTCCCTAAGCTCTTTTTGCTCAAGGCTAGCATTCTACCATTTGAACCACAGCTGTACTTCTGACTTTTCTGGTGCTTAATTGGAGAGGAGTCTCATGGACTTTCCAATCCCAGCTGGCTTTGAACAGAGATCCTCAGATCTCAACTTCCTGAGTAACTAGGATTAAAGATGTGAGCCACTGGTGTCTGGCAGAATTATTTTTATGTTCCAAATAGATATGCAATAGCTTTTTTTTTTTGGGTCTGGTCGTGGGGCCTGAACTCTGGGCCTGGGCGCTGTCCCTCAGCACTTCAGCTCAAGGCTAGCGCTCTACCGCTTCTGCCACAGCACCACTTCCGGCTTTTTTCTTTTTGCTTATGTGGTGCTGAGGAATCGAACCCAGGGCCTTGAGCATGCAAGGCAAGTGCTCTACCACTGAGCCACCTTCCCAGCCCTATGCAATAGCTTTTAATCACAATATGAGTCAGAAAAAAAATGTTGACCATTGAAATGACTCTATTATACCAATTTTGAGTGATAATTGTTACCAGGAAGTCAAAACAGTGACCTACATAAGTCCTTGAAGTTTGTAAGAATAATTCCACTAAAATGAGAATCACAGTGAAAGTGACAGGAAAGTTTACTGGGAAAAGAATATGGAAGAGAAAGGGGATTGCACAGCATGATGCAGTGGGAAGATGGCACTTGAAGCCATCTTTAGTCATCTTCAGAGTACAGACTTGAGCACTAGGTTTAAATAGAGGAAGAATTAGGGACAGGGGACAAAGGTATACAGTTTAGAGACCCAGTTATAGTTGTGGTCTGGCTGGTAATTTTCTCAAGTTTGGTTCTCTTTGGTTCAGGAAAAGTTGTTCTTCCAGCCATTTTGAGGGAAGCACTGGTTCCCAGGACACATTTCCTCGGGCTTGAAGGTACAACCTGATTACCATAGATAATAATACTCATTTGGGGGTGATCTGTCCTGAAAGACTCTGCTGTTCCTTGGGGGTAGTTTAACAGTCCCTGTCATAAAGATGTTATTAAGCAGTCCTGTCTTTCCTGGAACCCAAGATGATTGATCGCAAAGTGACTGTAGAATGAACAGCTTAGAACAATGACAAACACAAAATGGAAGCAGAGAGGCCAGGTAAAAATGTTTTGTATGTGTAGCAAACCTTTAAACAGACTGAAAAGTAAGCTGTCTCAAGAGTGAGAAAACCAGCGTTATCCTTTGAGGTTTGAACACTTACTGAGATTGCTTGTGAGAAATTTCTACCCCTGGGTCTAGTCTGGAGGGCTGAGGTCTTGTGAGGTCTTAATTACAACATTTTTTTTCTCTTAGAAACGTTGTGGTTGTGATCTCAGCCTACATTTTGGGTTCCTTCTGCATTTCCAGATTGCTCATGGTTAGCTGTTATCAATGAGAGAAAGAGGGCAGGTGAGGGGTGAAGGGGAGAGAAAGAGGGTGAGAAAGAAGAGGGGTGGATGAGGAGGGAGGAAGGGGGAGAGGAAGGGAGTGTGAAGGGAAAGTGAGGAAAAAATGGTGAGAAAAGGCGAGCGGTATTTATAAAGTTTAAATATCTTTATTTGTGCCAGACCCAATGGGACATGGATCATTACAGCGCAGAACTGTCAGAACAGGTGAACCCACCTTGTTTAAAGTGCTGTAGCTCTTCTTTAGGTAACAAGGACAACTGACACAATGTGCAGCTTGATGCTAGCTTTGGGGTGCTCCAGTCAGGCTGCGGCCTTTCCTGCCCAGAGGGGAAGAATGGCCACCTGACTGATTGAATTACGCCTCTCTTCCTCCGAAGCTCGGAGGTTTTTGTTATCAATTCATGATCGAAATCTCCATTCCTGACTGGAAACATCTTTCATGTTCTAGAATGAACGAGGAGATTCTCTCCACCGACCAAGAGCTTTTGGAACAAGACACTGGCATTAAAAGGACTTCACACTTCACCGCTGGAAGTTACCTTTTCGTGTTCCTCAAGCAGTAAACGCACAGTCCGGACCAAGGCGGCATTTTGGAATTCACTTTCTAATTTGGAATTGGCTACGGGTCCTTTAAAAAAACAAATTAGAGTCCAAGCCTGAGGGCGCGGTCGAGGGGCCCAGCCACTGACGCGGGCTTCTTCCGGGAAAGTCAGCTGAAGGCCTGCCGCCTGGCATCCTGGGACTTGAAGTTTCTCTTGGCCACTCTGTCTGACCTCCCGACTCTAGAGGGGGAAACAGATGGACTACAACTCCCAGAGGGCTAAGCGACAGCAGCGCGTCCTGTCCCCTCGCCGCGGCTGGGCGGCAGGTTCAAGTTGCCATAGCTGCGAGTCCGGGGAGAGCGGAGTCGGTTGCGCCGAAGCCTTTGGTCAGTTGCACCTTGTGGGTCACCAGTGGCCGCGGGAGCCGGGTGGGGGCCTCGGCGATGATCCGGCATTGAGAACCTGGAGTCACCTTTAGTCTCAGGTGCCGGCCCCCACTTCTCCCCGAGCCCTTTCTCGGGTGCTTCCCTATCTCACCGAGGGGACGTTTGTTTTGGGGGGGCCCGGGGGTGGGCACCCCACCAGTGCGCCGAGTGCGGGGTGGGGCCGTGGGAATAGCCGTATGGCGGGGGGGGGGGGGAGATGCTGGCGTGTGTTAGCCGTCCCCCTCCTGCCTGCCCCCCTCCTGCTACCCTCTCCCTCCCTCCGCCCCCACCCCCATCCCCGGCAGGGCCCGGCCCGGCTCCCCGGGGACTGTCATGGCTCTGTCCTGGCTCTGGCGGCGGCGTGGCCTGCCGCCGGCTCTGCCACCCCTTAGCTGTCCAGACTGAACGCATTTTAGGTAGCTCTTCCGCAGAACCTTCTAGCATTTGCTTGCTTGACCGTCCCTTCTCACCCCCCCCCCCCCACCTCTACCTGTCATGAAGCTAGAGATAAAGACGTTTGCTCCCCTTCCCCCCACGCTGTCATCCGCCACCTGTTTTTCCTAAAGGAAAAAAAGCGTTGGTAGCGCCGAGGTGGTCAGCGGCCCATTCTTGAATTGTCTCAAATACAGGACCCGACGTCGAATACCATTGCTTTCCTGGGCCTTGTCTCCTAGGAAGAGATCCAGGAGAACTAGAGGACCGTCATGTTGTAGTATTGACACAAGTGTTATTTAAACGATTTGGCACAGAGAGAATGCCCAGTTTTGTTACTTGTTATTGTTTAACCACACAGAATTGTTGTCCAAGAGAAATAATGCTTTTAAATTTCATAGTATGAACATTTAACGAAGTGAAAAAAATTCTGCACACTGTATCACCACTGGGACCAAGCCCAGAGTTCAGGCCCCATCACGACTGACAAACACAAACCCAAAACCCCCTGAGATGTGTGTGTGTGTGTTTTTTTTAAAAGAGCTGTATTGGACAGACAGCACAGAGGGAAGATGGAAACTTGCACAGTTGGCACAGAGAAATTTTATCATGCCTACAATTCATTTCATGGTTTGAAGGTGTTAGAAAGGAAAAGTGTGTACCACACTAGTCTATGTCTTCTGAGCATACGTATTCTTTGCCATTGTGTTAATCACTGGTCACTCTGAACTGACTCTGAACAGCTGATTTTGATTGGCTTTCCCAGAATACTTTCTTTGTTGAAATGGCTCATAGATCTATATCCAGCAACCACATTTCTTTTAGATGAATGTCTGCGAACTCCTAACAAACTCTTAAAAGCAGTAAAAAAGGAATTGAAAATATTTCTGCCCACAGCTTTTTCCTGCAACCAGAAGTATTTATGTGTTTTCAATACCAAGTGTGGGAAGAACGGAGTAGCATATATGTTTGTAAAGAGGCTTGGAGTGGCTTAGATATTAATTACATTCAGAGATAATTTCATTACCTGGCTTAATTTACCGGCTGATAGACATGTGCAGGGACATTATTTTTAAGTAAATTTGTGGCATAATTCACATTGCAGCCAGCTCAAGATGGGTGACCAGGCATAGGCAGAAAATATGGGTAAGGAATATGCTGCCTGGGAACTGGGAAATCAAGAGGTAACTTGGGCTTTCAGACAACACTAGAAGGATTTCTGTGATCTGTGATAGGCTTTAACCTGTATGTAGGGAAAGTGAGTTAATTCTTATATTTTTAAATTAAAAAAATTAAAGTTGTAGGTATGTTTTATCCCCTTGTTTCATTTATCTGTAGGTTGTTTGGGGAAAGTGTAGGGGCAAGCAAAGATCTTCTACTTTACTAGAACTTTTGCCCTGAACCTAATGAAGAAATGATAGGAGGAAGGCATATGTGCCTAAGAAGAGCACTGAGCTCAGAGGAGAGCTACATGGAGTTTTGGGGGTGTGCTTTGTAAGTATACTTTCTCCCTGAGTTTCTTTTTTGAGATAACAGTTTGTTGTATACTTACAGGGGAGAGGGCCTTGCCAATATATATGTATTTTTTTTTTTTTTGAGCAAGAAGCTGCTTTCTAATATGTAGTGTAAAGGTAATGATAGATGGTTGTGTATTTAATGTTACAAAAATTCAAATAAGTGGAGATATTGTTAACAAAAGCAACTTAATACAACTGTTTCTCTTAGACAAGTGTTTGAGAACTTATTTATCTCAGGCGCTGCATTAGGCACCCTCTCCGGACATTATATAGAATTTTTTTTATGCTTATCTTTATTTTGCAAGACAAGCAGTTGAGGCTCAGATAGGCAATGTGGCTTGCTTGCAGTTCTGGAGCCAGAGTGTCTTTATTTCTAGGTCTGATGTCAAGTACCAGATGCCTCAAGTACAAAGTAGCCTCCTTGCTGCCCATAATTGTTCTCTAAAGGAATATGACTTACACGCAGCCGTAGATGATCTGTGCAGCACTCTTTATGGTTATTCATTTCTTTAAATGTTCAAAGGACTTTTATAGTGTTTAAAAATAATGGTCCTTGAATATTCAGGCCAGATATAGTTGTAATTTGGAGTTTCCAAAAAACGAACATGTTCTTCATGAATTGTTATTAGTCACCAAAAGTATAGTATTAAAAACTTCAATTTAGTAACAGATTTAAAATTCTGGACATTTAGTGTTTCCTATTGCATTTTGACAGATAAAAAGCATTTTGACATACAGAGGAGACACAGTGGGGCCTTGTAATGATTCTGTATCTAAGCTCTCTGGTGTATATTGTTTAGATTACAGAGTTGGAGTTGTCTGTAGGATAATATGTTTCAGAAGTTCTTACCTGTATAATTTGACAAATTATAAAAATGCTTTGGATCTTTTTGGATAAATCCTTTTTTTAAAAATCTCTGTAGTCACTGGGTTAATTCTAATATAGTCATACTATTTTATTTTTCTTTCTTGTAACAATGTATTGTTACAGGTCAGCATTTATTCTTTCTGTCTATGTGTCTCTCTTTTGAGACAGTGCCTTTATATCTAGCCCAGGCTGGCTTCGAGCGCCTGATCCCCCTCTCTCATCAGTCCCACACCAGCATTCAGGGGTTCTACTTTTTCTCTTTTAGCTTCTACGTAGTAGTCTAATGATTAAATACTTTTAATATATCCCCGATCAGTGGATTTACATGTATCTTACTGAAAATTATGAATAATTATATAATGTAGGAATTCTATAATTATTGTAAGACATGTATGCATATGTTATATACATACGTCTTTTGTTGTAAGATAATGTTCATATACATTGAGTTTCAGTCAAAAGATATATATTTATTTTCCAAACTATTCTCCAGAAAAGTTGTTAAAGTTTATTTGCTACAGCAGGGTGTGTTCTTGTCAACTCTGAAGGTGAGGGCTGTTGCTCATCTGTATGAAACAAAGGCATTTTTTAAAATTACTTTTAATATCCAGTTCTTTAGTGAAATAAAATGTATTTGGACATTTGTTAGGGCCATTTATGTTCTGTGAATCACTTGTTTTTATATCCTTTGTGCCTTTTGCTACCTGAATATTATTTTGGTGTATTTTTTAAATAGCTGATTAATCCTTTGGTTCTGGTTTAGGCTTATATTTTTCTAAGTTTGTCCTTTATTTTGAAACTTTGTTTCTGGTGTGTTCTCATGATGTTTAAGAAAGACTATAAGAGACTTATAGGCCTTTATTGGATGCATGTATGTCTCTGAGTTTAATATGACCCTAGCATAGCATTGCTGGTGTTTGGTGCATTTGGGATATGGATGCATTTGGGTTTACAAGAATCCATTTAACTGACGACCATTTAGAATCTCTCCTGTGCATAGGGTTCTCCTGAATAAATGAAGGACTGGATGTCAGTTGTGAATGAATGAGTAAATGGATGAGTGAAATAAAGGTAGGCCTGAACTAGGTTCTTGAGGATGAAGTATGACATTCAGAACTATGAGTATTAATTTAAGTGATAGTCAATTTTATAGATTGTAGACAAGAGAAAATGCATGATGGTGGGAAAGGACGAGCTTTTATTTATTTATTTTATACATATATTTATATATTTTGGAAAAGATACTGTACAGAGGGGTTACAGTTATATGAGTACTCAGGTAATGAGTACATTTCTTATTGGGCATTGTTACCCCCTCCGTTGTTTATCTCCTACCCTCCTTTCTCTCCTCACCTCCCCAACTTCTCCCTTCCCCACACTTCCCGCACCTGAAGTCGTAAATTTTGTTTTCAACATAGTGTCTTGTACATTTCATTGTTACAATGGGTCAAACCTATATCCTTATTTTTGTTTTTTCCCTTCCCCTCCCCAAATTAGAAAAATGTATATTCAAGATGCAGGGCATCAGAATCAAATACAGTGAAAACAGGGTTATACTGTGGGGGAGGAACATACCAAAGAAACAAAAAAAATTGCATAGTACATTATAAATTGTAAATACATTAAAAACAATAACAAGCAAGAAAAAAAATCACTTGTGTCCCTATCTTGGGGTTCATTTCGCTTAACATCTTCTTATATGGTCATGTGTACATAACTTTTGACCTTTTCTGCTTGTCCTAGACATATACTAGTTATTGCAAATAAGGGAAACCATGGGACCTATGTGTCTTTGGGTCTGGCTTACTTCACCTAATATAATTTTTTCCAAGTCTTTCCATTTCCTAACAAATGGGTCAATGTCATTCTTTTTGATGGAGGTATAAAATTCCATTGTATAAATATACCATATATCCTTGATCCATTCATCTACTGAGGAGCATCTGGGTTGGTTTCATATCTTAGCTATGGTAAATAATGCTTCCATAAACATAGTTGTGCTGGTAGCTTTAGTATGGTCTTGTTTGTGATCATTTGGGTAGATGCCCAAAAGTCGGATTGCTGGGTCATAGGGAAGCTCTATGTGGAGTCTTTTGAGGAACCTCCATACTGCTTTTCACAGTGGTTGAACAAGTTTACGCTCA